AGCCCTCTTTTATTTTTGTAATTGCCATTTTTCTAATTTCGTTTTAAAAACGAAAAAACAAAAAGACACATGCTTGTTTTGTTTATGCAATTTTATTTTGAAACGAAAAACCAAAGAATGAACCATACACGGATTCTCCTGTTATATATGGTCATCGACATTTTTCCGAATTACAGACTGAATTCAACTGCTGTCGAACCCAGGAGACATATTTATCTGTAGGCTGATTCTCTTCGGGTCTCATCTATTAAACTCTTAGCCCAATAAGCTAAAATGGTTTGTGAACTGACCTGCACCCCTTGCCTTGTCCCACACCACCAGCTGAGCTTTACTCTGCAGCACTCTCTTCAACAGACATGCGCACAAGCTGCCTGTCAAGCCTGCTCCAACGATCAGAACCCGGGACATCTTTTAAGGTGTCCGGTCAGGTCGGAAGAATCCGGTTCCAGCACTACAGTTAAACTGGGTTATAAAACCAGGTCCTTCAGAACTGCAGAAGGCAAAACAAAAGTTATTGCGCCATTTTGATGATCTCACATCCGGCAAGAAACTTCAAAATAAACGTTGTCTTCCGACCAATCAGAGAAAGAGTGTCATAAAGTAAGTCTATGACACGGAGGCGTGTGACCAGCAGTGTTCAGAGATCAGCGGTGCAATTGGACGATATTTGAGTTATAACAGCTTCTTACCTGACAGAATTAAGTAAAACAAGTGTATCCGGGTGGACAAGGAACGGAACCGGTAAGCAAGTTAAACCAGTTAAATAAACTAGTAACAGGCTTCAAATATTTAGTACTAACTATGTATAACTTTAGTAAGTTAATAAATCTGTAGAAGTCAAGCTAGAAACTTAAAAGCGAATTAAAACGTAATCTTGTTCAAAACGGGCTTAAATTAAAAAAGGGGGCGGAAACAGGCTATAAACGTGTTATAAAGATGTGTTGTAAATATTTAGACCTGGTATAGTTTGATTCTAAACATGGCTACTGGCTAAAATCAGACAGACATAATCATGTTGTCTATGGCAGACAGTATGGCAGGCCGTTTAAACATAAATTCGGTTTCGTTCTAGAATTCTAAAAATGCATTTTGACTAGACAAAGCTACATTTTGACTCTCCGGAATGGTAATTAATATATCTGCATTGACATTCTCACTAGTAAGAATAATAATCCAAGATATCTTCAATTACATTTTGAGAGTCAAAATTCCTGTCAAAACGTAACCGAATCTGTCATTTGTTGGGACTCATATAGCCGCAATTACATATATATAGACGGTCTTTATTGTCATTCACTTGTATATTTAATGTAAATATTGAACATTCATACATATAGAACAGCTTCAACTCTTCAGGGAAGGCTGTTCTCAAGCTTTAGGAGTGTTTAAAGGGATTTTTGACCATTTTTCCAGAAGCGCATTTGTGAGGTCACATACTGATATTGGATAAGAAGGCCTGACTCTCAGTCTCTGCTCTAATTAATTCCATAGGTGTTCTATAGGGTTGAGGTAAGGACTCTGTGCAGNATATATGCCTAAGAGTGATAAGTTCAAAATGACTAGATATAAACAAATAAATAAATAAACAAGTAGTCACATGCAATATATTAATCAATAAATAACATATATATGAGCGCAGAAAAAAAATTAATCAATTAGCATAGATTTGGGCATTGTAAAGCTGATGGCAACAGGCAGAAATGACTTTCTGTGGCGCTCTGTGGTGCACTTTGGCAAAATGAGTCTCTGGCTCAGTACAAGCTTTAAGTAAGCTTTGTAAATGGGGCTGGGGAACAAATGCAAAAGAAAAAAAAGTTGAAGGACAAAGAATAAAAACTAACATTTGACCACTAATATTATGACTATTATGGGAATATTAGCGGTCACAGAATATAGCTTTTGTATATTTTTGGACACACTGTAACTTGTAAACTCTACTACGCAAGTACTTATGTCTTTCATAAGTTGCAATGTGGTCACAATATTTGAAAAGAGCTACCATATTCTGTGACATCTATTTTTCCATAATAGTCATAGTATTATTGTAAAATGTTTCATCTTATTCTTTCTTCAGCTTTTCTGTTTTTATTATTATTTTTATTCTCCTCCCCGCTTCGAAGTTTACGTTTCTGGTGTAACCAGCATGCTCTTCTTCGAGGTCAAGGTATGACAAAGTATGATAAAATGTAACAGCGCCTCCTGAATCTACGGAGCCCTCCAGGGGACATGGGGAATTTTTTTTCTTTTCTCAAAAATTTTGCGTCCCCTCGCAATAATCTACTGATCAGTTCATGCGGTATAATTGATACTGTAAGCCTTTTTTACGGTGGCCGCCGTACTTTCTGCTTTAATACAAGCTTATAAGGTTTTTCCATGGACTATTGAGTTATTATCGTGGGGTAATAAGTCATCTGATTGTGTTTCTATTGTGTTCGTGTCTGAATGGTTTAAAAAGCTGCTTTCAGTGCCGTTGTTACGTCAATCCGCGTAAATAAATCGATTTTCAATCAGTTTTTTGCACCAAAGAGTTAATAATAATAAACACGTTTTATTATTATAAAACACAGCAAACTTGGTAGAGGGCCGCACTGAGTTAACTCGGGGAATCTCATTTGTCCGTTTATCAATCAACACCAAACCTCTTCTTTGTTCTGTCACAATTATCGATTTATTTAATTTTGATTATCATGCTCCAAACTTTGCGAGGACTGACCCCCCAGCTCACCCGCTGCCTCACACACCGAGCCAGCAGCGTCACCTTCCCATTCATACTTCATGACAGTCACTCCCACATCGACACGCCCACCACCAGGTGTCAAAGCCGCTGCTCCTGTCATATCAACAATTACTTATTTCATTCATATGGCTCTTATAGAGCCTCAGTGAAAATGTATTATTATTAACGCTTTGGTGCAAAAAACTGATTGAAAATCGATTTATTTACTGCATGTTTATGTCTGTTAAGGCTCAGATGGAACGGCACAGAAAGCAGCCCTTTAAACCATTCAGACTACGAACACAATAGAGACACAATCAGATGACTGATTACCCCACGATAATAACTCAATAGTCCATGGAAAAACCTTATAAGCTTGTATTAAAGCAGAAAGTACGGCGGCCACCGTAAAAAAGGCTTACAGTATCAATTATGCCGCATGAACTGATCAGTAGATTATTGCGAGGGAACGCAAAAGAAAGAAAAATCCCCATGTCCCCTGGAGGGCTCCGTATGAATCCATGTATGGTTCGTTCTTTGTTTTTTTGTTTCAAAATAAAATTGCAAAAACAAAACAAGCATGTGGTTTTTTTGTTTCTCCGTTTTTAAAACCCAAATCTAAAAATGCAAAATCGAATTAATAGAAAATCAATAGCGTTTGAGTTTTGCTTTGCCATCTAAATAAAAATAAAATATTTAGATGTTTTAATACTGTATGTACCGATACTGGAAATGAAGTAAGTCGCCAAAGAAAAATCATTTACAGTGGATGAAGACGGCATAAAAACAAACCATTCCTAAATAATAGGCAATGGCTGCACTTGAACCGTTTTCTGCATTGATTATCGAACTTTTTGAGAGAGGAAAAACAGTCTGAAATCAGTAATTCTTTGGGTCGCAATGTGTACATTACCGCTCTTGTGCTGAAAAAGTTATGTGCCGGGAGTTCAGGTCTTCATTTCCGGTTCCGTCATAAGGTCCCGTTCAATTAGCAACAAAATAAAAGCTTGT